ATAACTCGTGCATTGGTTGAGAATGTAACTAATTATATCCTCGTCGAAAAATAATTCGAACATCTCGACAGGTGTCAACGTATTGAATGGTTCGTAGCTATATTCTGGGAAACTAGCGGCATTGTCGACCAAATCACCCGTTATCCAATTTAGGGACTCGTATTCAATTTTCTTCACTTGAGAGGTAGTTTGTGGGATGAAACTTCCGCTGCTTTCCTGGGAAATATCCATCGCTTGAACTGCATCTTCTTCGATGTCGTCATCCTCTTTGTCTGCTTCTTCGCCATACATTTGCACCTCAAAATTTGCTTCCAGCTGTTTTCTAGACAGATAGTCGATGAATCCTCCCCCATCCTCCTCGCCAGAATCTTCATCAGTGAGGTCTCCAATATTTGGGGGCTCAACATAAATATTTCTAACGTTGACGTCATCTTCGTAAACCATGTTCAAAGCTTCTTGTAGAGAGAAACCCCGCCTGAAAAAACAAGATGTCTGTAGATACTAGCGTTGCCATATGGCAACGCGATGAATAAAAACAAAATATTGTAAAAGCTCGCCTTTTTTTCAAGGGTTGTCAAATATTCACAGAGGGAAAATGACCTTTCTATTAGAGCATCATTGTTACTTTAGCCACTTAGATATAATAGTTATTCAGAAGTAATTGACAAATTGAGCTACTTACACAAATCTTATATCCATTTTTACAACTATCAAAAACGGTGACTATAAAATCTCACAAACACCAACGAATTAAGTTTTTGTTAGGTGTATATCTTCAAATCACTTATTTTCTGCAGACCGGCACGTTCTTGGAAACAAAACAAACTAACATAACCTCAAAATAATAAGATTCGTACGTCAATACCAGTGTTGCCATATGGCAACTCCAGTCCTTCATGGGTTAATGCCATACGGGATAATGTAAATAAACTGGATCCTGCGAAGATTCTTAGTATTATCAAGGACTATATCAACCAGTTGAAAACGACTTCTTCAAACTCTTCCGGGACCTCAAAGTTGCTCTTCAAATCCCACAATCCTACATTTTTGTCTCACTAAAAATAAAAATGTCGCTTATAGGAAATGTGATATTTATTTTTTTAGATTATGAATTTTGTTGCTTATTACAAAATAAATAAATTAAAACATAGTAAAGTTTTTATTTTGTCCTCCGGCAGTCACAGAAGATTTTTAGTTCTTCAACATGGTTTTGTAAGTAATTATTGATAAAATGGAGAAAAAACGATGCAACGTTATTTGATCCTTTTTGAGCGATTCCTTCATGATAAGTATAAAAAAACAAACTGACCAGAAGAGAGGACTTCTTGCTTTTTTTTGCAGATTTTTTGGCTTGTATTTTCCTTAAGAAGATCGCTTCAGCCTTTCTTTTATGTAAATCGTTTACAGTTAATTGTTTAAGTTTATCAAAATTAGTCAAACTTTTAAGCTTATATTGAAATTCATCACACGTTACGCACGTATTACTTCTGGGGTATCCAAAAGCAATATTAAATTCCTACGTTTCATGTGAGACTTTAGCATTTAGATCCTTAAAGCGTCCTTAAAGAGGTTAAACATTTTTTCATTTGTGAGTTCTTCTGGTAAATAAGTCTTTTTTGTATCTTTCAG